TAATATTATTATTATTTCAAAAATGTATAGCCGGCAACACTATTCTTTCAAAAAAAAAAGAAAACTTATAGCTGGTAATATTTTTTCAAAAACGTACAGCTGGCAACATTATTTTTTCAAAAACGTATTATCAGAGGCCCTGCTGTTGAACATAGTTTATCATCATACCCAGGACGCTACTGATAAAGGAAAATTTAATTTAAATAGAGTGTGAAGAAGTAAAGATGTTGAAAATTTCTTGAGAAATATTTAAGTCCTTTTATTTAGTCTATTTTTCAGTCATGTAGGAGATGATGAATTTTTCTAAGGAAATTTTCAGCATGTCTCTACTTCTTTGTGTTCTATTTACATTTTGTCCTACCAAAGATTTATTAAGTTTAATTTCTGTAAGTTCAAGTTATGCAATGGTGACTAACAATAAATTTGAATTCCATAGATTGTGTTTTAAATAAAAATTTATTTTTAACATATTTAGTGTTATGGGACCTTACCCATAATAACATAATGGACTATTCCATACGTAATAAATACTGCGCCTCAAGAGGAAGCAGGGAGTTCAGTCTGAAGTCTGGAGTGAAGTCCATCAGGAGTCTGTCAGTCAGAGCAAGTCAGAGGCAGACCGAAACAGAGTCGCATTCAGAAAATTACTACTAAACCTGATTGTTCGTACTAACACTTTCTACTTCTCTGTATATATTCCTGTTTGTAATATATCTGTGTTATTCCATATCTGTGTTCGAGTTCTTCTTTATTGGTTTTACCTTGAACTATCACCGTGGTACAAGGAACCGGACCATAACAGTGGCGACAAGGAAACCAACTCTCTATGCAGAGGACATACCTTTTTTTTTTTTTTTTTTTTTTTTTTTTTTATCCATCACGCATAACATTTAGCATATGTACAATTTTTATTTATTTTTTTTTCTTGTGAAATAATTTTGTTAAAGTATCCTGACCTCAGAGTTTTTTTTTAATTAATAATTTCTTTTTCTCTTTATTTTTAGGCTGTTGTTCTAAATCTAACTTAGCTAACAAATCGGAAGAAGTGTACGAAGCAATTATCTGTGTATTTTCCAGCATTACAGGCCTGATCACATTTTTCCCTGATGGGACAATCCACAGTGTAAACCATCATTTTGCACTGATGCTTTTTGGCTATTCCAGCTTGGAACTTATTGGAAAGGTAAGGCAAAAATGGACCGATTTCAGTCTACACAGGAAAATTTCTTTGCAACTCTTAAAAATATTTTCAAGATATTTGAAGAGACTGGTAATAATTGCATACAAATATTTTTCTTTATTATTATTATTAAAAAAATATTTGGAAAATTTTAACTATTTCTGAAAGTGATTTTACAAGATCAGCAAAATGATTTTTTTTTTTTTTCTTTTTTTAGATGTCAATGTGTTATGCTTCAGAATTCAGTTAGTATAATGGATAATTTATTTAAGGCTGAATTTCTAAAATCTGTAACAATTCATGACTGCTAAGCCCCCAACATTTTCTCCTTCTCTTCCATATGCGATTGACTAATTACTGTTACGAACATGACTGAATTCAACAAAGTAGTTTTACATTAGTTGAGGGGCCTTGGAAAAGAAAAGGCAGCAGAAGTAATACTTTTGAATAATTATGGAAAATGGTTAAGTAGTTGAAAAGGGAAGAAAATGTTTGTCGTTAAACAGAAAATAAATCATCAAAAAGCCGCCCCCCCCATGGGAAAAAAAAAAAATTATTTATATATATATATATATATATATATATATATATATATATATATATAATCAAAAGGTAAAAACTCCTCCCACCAAAGTACAAAAAAAAAAAATAACACAAAAACAAAATAAGACAAAAAGGCCCAGCTCCCTAAAATACAAAAACAAAATCCCAACAAAAAAAAAGCACTCCTCCAAAAATAAATGCTTTATACATTCTCTTTGTTCTTAAGAACAAAAATAATAAACACTATTAGATTGTTTATTTACATTATTTATTTATTATATTCTTTTATTGTAATCGTTGGCAAAACGTTAGCTATCAATTGATTCAAACTTTATGAAATTGTAAATAATAAGGATTTCTTTATAGTTTACATATTTTAATAGTTTAGTAAATTTTAATAAATTTATGAATAAAAATTGTTTTCATATTTATTTCTTATGGTGGAGTAATGAATAGCAGCTCATATTGAGGAATCAGAGAGCCGAGTTTGAATTCCAGTCGAATCCGTTTCATTCACTTACGTGCTAATACCCTTGGGAAAGCTATGAATCCTCCACTTCGCCAACCCCCCTCCCAAGCTATGGGTAGATTAGATTGCAGGACAGACCAGGTTTTATAGCCTTGGATGGCAACTGGTCGACTGGAGAAAGAAACTACAACCTGCTACAGGGAAAAAACCTGCCTCGTCGGTCATGTATCAAAAGATACATGATCACCTAAGCGTGTATCACGCATGGCACATAACTGACTGAAATTATAAATATTACATTTCATTAGTTTTAATTGTATTAGTTTTTAGAAAGTTGTAAATATAAAATTATTCTTGTAAATAAACAATCTAATAAATAAATAGTGTTTAATATTTTTGTTGTAAATTCTCAAGAACAAAAAAAATGTTCATATGTTTAGGTTTTATAATTCTAATCTTCGCTTTTTAAAACCTCATTGCTGAGGAGTGAAGGTAATTAAAATAATAGCGGTGTTAAGGGAAAAACCATCCTTTTGACACTTTGTTTTGTTTGTTTTGTTTTTTCTTTGTGGACATGAAGGTTCACATTTGCCATATGTTTCAGATGTCAGTTTGTATAATATTTTCTAGTTAATTCAGATATGAAGATATTTGAGATATTTAGATTAAATCTTAAAATATACTTCTAGTAAGTTGTAATTTTTTTTCTAGAAGAGTAGAGTTAAAATTAAAAAAAAAAATTACAAAAATTCTGTTAGTATGAGAATATAGAAATTTCAATTTGAATTTTAATATTGGTTCAACTTGTTAATGTTGAAGGTATTTTTTAGGTATGTCCATTTTGGCAATAATTGGAAAGTAAAATTTACCAATATTCCCCAATGCTATTTTTTTATGAGAAACTAAATAAGAATTTATTTTGTTCAGAAAACACTTCTTTTTTTTTTTTTCCAAAAACCACCAGCTTAAAGGAAAGTCATAAATATTAGTCGATTTTCCAGACAAATTTTTTTTCTTGCAAAGAGAATACATTTCACAAACTTTATGATTTTAAGAACGGACATTTTTATGCATTTTGCTTTCCAGATCAAGTACTCCCTTATGCAAATTAATTGAAATAACTGCTTTAGTTTCCTTTCTTTCAGCATACAGTCAGTTCTAGATCCACTGGAGTGACAGATTATAATCAATTTCTATTTTTTTCTGATTAGGTCATTTGCATTGGTGTGCAGTAATATGAATCTATTTTTGGGGTCTATGATGAAATTTGTTTGGCCTTGAAAAATATTGTCATCCGTGATTGCATCAGATTTTCATCACGCCCAGACACTATTGTCTTGACTGTCGATTAGTTATCATACGGCTATTGTCTATGATGGATGTTACTCCAAGGAAGCGTACAAAAATTTGTAAGCCTTACCAGTGAGCAAATCAAAGTACTATAGACTGGCCCGAAAACTCTCCTGATTTAAATCCAATCGAGAATCTGTGGTCAATGTGCAAGGAACGTTTCATCGAATGAACATACAAAGTACTAAAATGGGCACTGGGTCATGTTTCAATGGAAAAATATGGAAAAATGTAAATAATAACGGAGTTATTCGTTTTGGTTCAATTAATTTGCACAAGGGTGTAGATTCTCCATATTTGATGTTTTGGTGCTATACAATATTCCTAATTTTAATGGCCACCCACATTTAACTTTCTTCTGTATTTAACTCATCATAGTAAACATCAATAGCAGTGGACATTTTTATTTCAAAACCTTCTGGAAATAAAGGCGTGCCAGTAGATCAAAAAGAAAATTAAAACATTGCAAATTTTATACTCTTTACATTCTTAAAGTTCCATGAAACTGTCCGTAAATAGGAAATGAAATATCATCTGATAGGCGGATAAACATGTCTATTAAAAAAACAACAAGGGTTTTTGCAACCTAACGGCTTATATATTGGATCCAAATCCGCCCATAAAAAGCATTTTGACCGCCCATGAGCCTGATTACCAATGACTCTATTTTTAACATGAGAGACGACCTTCAAATGAAATTTGTTATGTAATTTTCCATAGAATGTCTACACATCTCGGTGCACTAGAAATATTAGACTATCTGCCAGTTATCTATCATGAGACTTATTTTACCAAGTTGCGTTGCCTTACATTTAATGTCAAATAATGGATACATATTTGTTATGACCCTTGGCTACATTAAAAGATAACAGAAATTAAAAGGAATTTAAAGTGAAAGAGGCAAGGGAGGGACTGACATGCGAGGTAGCAGAAATCTCAAGACAGTTAAACATATGCATTATACATACATGCCTCATGAATGTGTGGATGATACCACATGTGTACGTACATAAGTGTATATGTTTGCAACTATTTGTACTCGTATGTATGGGTATATGTGCTTCGTTTTTGTTTGATGTGTGGTTTGTTTGTGGAAAAATTTTCAATAAGTTTCAAACCTACATGTCATAATTTCATCCATTTCACTTCAGTTGATTTTTTTCACTTTGAAGTATTTTGATGTTCCTTGAGGAAAAGTAATTTTTGTTAGGTGTTTTTTAATTTTAGATTTTCTTTTGTTTTTCTGATTTCTCAATGTTTATTTTCTTTATGGTTTTAAATATTTAGGTTGACAGGGGTCTGCATATGTAATTTTCCTTAATTTTTTATTAATGTCCTTTGTCTGGCCCGTGACCTGTCATTATAACACGATCTGGCCCGCGGGGTTGAATTAGTTGCCGACCCCTGCTTTATGGTTTTAAGAACAGACATTTTAAAATGATCGTTTTTTTTGTTTCTTTTTTTTTGTTTATTTTTAAGCCATAATAAAATGTTATGCCCCCACAGATTATTTACATAATCTTCCTCTTAACAAAAATGTTATGTTGTCTGACCTATTCATCTCTTTCATATTATGTTTTTAACTTTATATTCAAACAGTGATGATCACCATGCTTACATTTTTTTTTCTTGGCCTGACTGGATTGCAAATTGATTTTTAACTTGTAATCCATTGCAAATACTTACTGTCATTTAAGCAACACCATAATGCTCATAGAAAAAACTCCTCTTAGTAACCTGTTTTCTTTTATCAGTGATTGAGAAATAGCAAAAAAAAAATATACTTGCTGACGTCTTCTGGTTTGGGGCTTCTGCTATGTATCTCGAGATTCTAGACAAAATCTGACATCAATCCTTAGTTTTTCGTCTTTGTCATTTCAAGATGAGTTTACAGCATCTACCATCTGACAGAAAAAACAATGTGATGATCTTTTGGACAATAAAGAAAATGTATTATCTTAATATTTGCTATTCCCTTCATTTCTGCTACTAAGACAGACAATGTCAACATGTGACCAATTCTGATAAACTGTGATGATCTCTCAACCTAACCCTAACTCCTCATTAGCAATGGTAGCTACAGCAAAGTAAAAAAGGATCCTACAATGAAAACGGAACGCAAACTGTCACAGATATTAATCAAGAACAAGGATCACTTCGCACCTAAGACATATAGGCAGTTACCGCAGCATTAAACCAAGCTACCTCACATATACAGTCTCCCTAACATTCACAAAGACGGTATTCCACTCGGGCCGATTGTTAATTGCCAAGGCTCTGTGTGCCACCCTCTGAGTCGCTTCCTTGTAGATATAATTGACTCATTGATCGGAAAGTCTCCTTCATATGTCTGAAACATTGCCCACTTCATGGAAATAATCAAAGATGCTCCCATCCTATCCAACAAGATGGTGAGCTTGGACGTGGTGAGTTTGTTCACCAAGGTAGCCACAGAGTAGGCACTCTCAGTAGTCTAATAGATAATCTAATGGAGATGTTGACTTTCTGTACACAAACAACACACTTCGGAATGGGATCACACATATATTGACAGGATGAGGGCTTAGCAATGGGCTCGCCATTATCACCAGCAATGCCGAATATATACATGGAATACTTTGAGGAAAAGTGCATTAGAAACTATATCTCTAAAGCTAACTATATGGTTAAGGTACGTAGATAACACCTTCATACTCTGGCCACACCAGGAAGATGTTCAGGTTCTACTGGACCACGTGAACTCAATAAGACCTTCGATACAGTTCACAATTGAGAAAGAGAGTAACAACACACCTCCATTCCTGGATGTTCTATTATCTCAAACAGAGCATGGGTTCAAGACATCCGTATACCGTAAACTGACATTCACCGGACAGTACCTCAATTTCAACTCCCACCATCCATACTGTGTGAAGAAAGGGATCGTCCGCTGCTTACAACACCGAGAAAAAGTCATAAGTGGTGACCCAGAGACTTTAGATAAAGAATTGGTCAGTATAAGTAGTACCCTATAACGTAACAACTACCCTGGGTACATGACAGCAGCCCCAAAAAACTGGGATAGGCGGGTACAAGGGGAGGACAACAACACTCAGAAAACAGTCTGCCTATGTGAAGGGGTTATCAGGGAAAATACAAAGGATCTGTGGTCCATATAACATCAGGACAACCTTCAAAAGCTTGACAACACTTTGCAGATATCTCTCCCGAGTAAGACCCCCTATAGAGGTGAACATGACTAAAGACTGTGTGTACGCTATCCCATGCAGGAAAGAAATATAAAGGGGAGACAGGTCGCCCCCTTAAGGTAAGGCTTCAAGAACACCAGAAAGCTGTAACATGAGGGGATGTGGAAAAATCAGGTATGGCTGACCACATATGGAGAGAGAAGGGAGATCACTGCCCTCTGTGGGATCAGGTTGAAATCATAGACAAAAGAACACCATTGGAAAATTCGTAAACTTAAGGAATCAGCACATATGCTAGGCCACAAAAATCTCCTGCCAACCAAGCATAGAAATGAATACAATATGGGAACCAGTAATAAGAAGTGCCAGAGAAAAGTGATAATAACAACAAAAGTTGCAATATGAGCTCTGGTAAAAACATGCAATGATAACAGCAAAAAATTGCTACATGAGCACTAGTAAAAATGGTTGCTGAGACATTAGGTTTATAATACCCAGAAATTCATAACAGATGTCCTCACAGTGGATAAAGGCGTTGGTTAGATCCAGTGACAGGACCCAAAGAGTGTGAGTTCAATACCCGGTTAAAGCAGTGGAGTACTTTCAGAGGGAAATTAACAAGAGATAACTGATAACAATTAAACATGGCACGTAAAACTAGAACAGTCAACCCCAGTGAGCGAAATAAAGGGTTAAGCTAGACATTCCAACCACCTGAAGACGGCTGGAGCATACAACGTCTGAAACATTGCAATAAATATGGCAACAAAGATGAGGACAATAGTCCAAATAATGTAAATAATATCTCATCTCAGAAATATAGACAGATACTGTGATGATCTCTTAGTCAATACAGTCAATGTATACTGTTGTGTGTATATTCAAGTGATGCCATGGTCTTGACAGATGGATTAGACAACTTGACAAATTTTTCTTGTTTGCTAAATCCTAGAATGATGTTTCTTGTCATATTGATCATGATTTTGTGAATCCTGTGACCCATCAGGGTCATAGGAACACACATATACTGTAGTTGCAGTAAAAGCGTTTTTTCTTGGGCAAGATAGCCTGACAGAGACCAACCCTCTCCAGACAGGTTTTAAATTCAGAATTACCCTTCTATACTGGTTGCCACCCAAGGTTATGGAATCCAGTCTGTCTTAGTATTTACCCATAGCTGGTCGGTGGGGAGAAGAAGATTCATACCTTTCCTAAGGATATTAGCATGTAAGAGTCATACCTTTCCTGAGGATAGTAGCATGTAAGAGTCATACCTTTCCTGAGGATAGTAGCATGTAAGAGTCATACCTTTCCTGAGGATAGTAGCATGTAAGTGAATGTAATGGGCTGACTGGAATTCAAATTCAGCTCTCCAATTCATCAATCCAAGCCACTTCTTCATTACTCCACCTGTGCATCTTTGTCTTAAAAGTATTAAAAAAACTTCTTGAGAACCTGCAATTGACTTGATTCATTGGTTGGGGGAGTGGGGAGGGGGTGATTAGAGAAGAATAATTTTAAATTCTCATTATTTACATAAGTTACCAATTTATTCCTGCTGTTGTTATAAATCACCTGAATAACTAAAATCCAACAAATTCTGATTTTCTGATTGCAAAAATATTTGTTATTGTCATTTTAATATAAATTATTTATTAACTTTTTTTCTTCTTCTCTTTATTGGTATTTTCTCCTGATTAGAATGTCAGCCTGCTTATCCCAGAATTTTATTCCATCATATCTTCTATAAATATTCAAGACAAACCACTGACTCCAATTAGTCCAGTCAATTCAAGTATGACTCGAGCATCCATTGGAGAAATGTTTTCACCTGCCAAACTCAAAAAGAAAGGTAATTTTTTTTTTTTCTTTTTGTTCCTGTATTTTAGTAATCTTGAACATTTCAAATATTTCAGGAATGGAATGCTTGTGTCTTGTACATTTCTAAAAATCAACTTTGAGCAAAATGAGTCTATCGGCTTTTCTTTCTTGAATAAAGGAGTAAGAAATAGACAAACAAGTCTCCGCTTGGTTATTCTGTACCATTAGAAAAGGTTGACTAAATCAAAGGTTTTTTTGTTGGGTGGGGGCTGTTTGGTGAGGGTCAATTGTTTTGGGAAAAAAAAAAAACATTTTTTTTTTTTTTTTTTTGCAATAGGGGGCTTTTTTCAGTTCTTTTTTTTTTTTTTTTTGCTGTAGGGGGGCTTTTTTCAATTTTTTTTTTTTTTTTTTTTTTTTTTGCTGTAGGGGCTTTTTTCAGTTCTTCTTTTTTTTTTTTTTTTTCCCTCCAGTTTGACTTTTTGGGGTAAATTTTTGTTGTTTTGGACATCTTGTAGTCGTTTTGTTTTTGGGTTTGGACTTTGTTTTGGGAATCTATTTTTTTGTTTTTGTTTAGGAGGATTCTTATTTTTATGTTTTTTATGGGGAGTTTTGTTTTGTAGAGTGGGCGTATTTGGGGATTTTATTATTTGTGGGGGTGTTTTGCAGGTTTTTTTGTTTTTGGAGGAGTGCTTTTGGGGGGATTTTTTTGTATTTTAGGGAGCTGGGCCTTTTTTTATTTTGTTTTTGTTAGATTTTTTTTTACTTTGGTGGGGGGGTTTTTTTGTTTTGTTGTCTTGAGTTTTTCCCTTTTGATTATATTTTTATGGGGCGGGGGGGGGGGGGTTGATGATTTGTTTTCTGTTTAACGACAAGATTTTCTTCCCTTTTCAACTACTTAACCATTTTCCATAATTATTCACAAGTATTACTTCCCCTTCTGCTGCCTTTTCTTTTCCAAGGCCCCTCAACTAATGTAAAACTACTTTGTTGAATTCAGTCATGTTCGTAACAGTAATTAGTCAATCACATATAGAAGAGAAGGAGAAAATGTTGGGGGCTTAGAAGTCATGAATTGTTACAGATTTTAGAAATTCAGCCTTAAATAAAATTTTCTTATAGTAAATGAAGGCCTTATATCACTTTGAAACACCAATTCTTGTACAATCACAAAAATTAAGCCTGGTCAATACTTAGATTGGTGACCGCTTAGGAATACCAGGTGCTGTAAACTTGGATGTGCAGGTGGTGTAATGTATAAGAGCATGGAATGGGAAATTGGAGATCTGAGTTCTAATTCCAATCGGGTTCCCGTCCTGGGTATGATGATAAACTACATCCGACAGCAAGGCCTTTGATCAGATTTTGAGGAGCTAGGAACCACCTCTTCATTGCCGGTGTTCCCAGATCCACCCTGACCCGTTGTGGTAACACCAATTAGCGTCGCAGCTATGGGCAAATAGTTAACCCCCAAACTGTCAAAAACACTATGAATGTATAGAATATTTATAGTAAAAATACCAGCAATAAATTTTTTCAGAAAAAAAATATTACCAGTCATACTCTCAACAAAAATGCTCTTTACAAAAAATACATCAATGAAACCTGATCTACAAACTTTCTTACAAATACGTATTGTATTTATATGAAACTATCCTAAAAATCTTGTCAGCATTAAATAACCCATTGAGGTGTTGATATGCTGTAAAACAAAATAAACCATCCACTCAGGTTCATTAGATTTATTTATGCCCAAATACCCTTGGGAAAGGTATGAATACACCTGTCTCCCCACAGCTATTATATTAATTAGTAAGACTGGTATCAGTAAATCATTATTATCTAAAAAAAAATTCTTACAATCTAAAATATGTTTGGGCTTTAGATAATCTGCAAAGGGTTGGTAAACAGTAAAAAACAAACACAAATTAACTCTAATTTATTGGATCTTAAACTTTGAAACTTTAATCATTTTCAAACATAGTCTCTTCTTCTGAGCACTGAAAGGACATCTTTTGTTTTCCAGGTGCAAAATTCCACTGTTCAGATTTAATGTCTGCAGAGAAGCGAAGGTTTAGTGACATTGCATCTGATCATCGGTCAGTCAATAAGGAATGGCAAAGTCATCTCTTGGACATGAAACCCAAAGATTCTTCCACACCCTGCAGGATGTCAGCTCGTTTGAAACTAAATGAAATCAGTGACAACTCTTCAAGTGAAGATGGGAGAATATCATTGGAAGATTTGAAACCTGAACCAGTGCCGTATGATCCACAGTGCAGTGATATAGACACTTGTTCCGACGATGATGAATGCAACCATTTACCTGTAGTGCCTCCAAGAGATTCCGATGCCCAGGTTAACACTGGCTCAGAATCTTCAAGTCAGATCCAACCACAGTCCATAAACCTGCAAGTCAGCCCTTGCAAACATGTAAATAATTCTTCAGCCTCCTCAACAGTTCCAAATTCAAAAACAACTGAATCTTTTGAGAATAAATGCAAGAATTTATCTTCTGCAAAGAATTCTCAAAGTGAAAAACCAAATTCCAAACATGTTTCTTACCCTATGGAAGATTTTTCTGAAACTTTGCAGACAAGTAAAAAAAACAATTGTTTGTCTGAGAAAGAATTTCTAAATCCAAAGGAGTCTGATAAAATACAAATAAAGGAACCACAAATTAACAGCAATTCCTCTTCATCTTCTATCGTGTTATCTCCCAGAAAAGGACACAAAGTTTTCACTTCATCTGAAGCAATGGTCAGGCTTGAACCTGAACTTGCTTTGATCGATGCCAAAATGGAAGCCTTATGCGTTGATTGTGATTCGTCATTAACGGGTTACAGCTCTGCAGACATTGAAGATGAAGATCTTGAAGAGAAAAAACCAAGTGTCGCTTTCCTTCCATCTATTCCTGGCAAGAATTCTTCCCTGACAAAACGTGCTACTGACATAATTCCTCCACAGGCTCTTCACTTACAAGAACAATGTCTAGCCTCATCTGATGATTGCTCTCTACCAAAGGTTACTATTACCCAAAGTGTAGAGCTCAGTGATGACCAGACTTCCAGAAGGAACACAAAAATGGTTTCTCCAAGAAAAACATTTTCAGAGAAGACCAAAATTGAAAGAATGATTGCTTCCCCAGAAACTTTGGATTCTGATGAAGACAGTTTTGAGTTTTTTGAACGAGAAATTGAAAAAGCTTATCAAAACAAAGAATCAGCCAATGGTTACTTGCTGGATTATTTGGACAGCAGTAATGAGGAAATCTTCAGTGAAAGGTTAGTTTGTTCTTGCCTTTTCTTTCTTTTTTTTTTTTTCCTTCTGTTTCCTCTTTTTGTCCTTTCTTTCCATTTCCTTCATTGTTCTTATCTTTTTTTCTTCCTTTTTTCTTTCCTCTTCCTTCTTTTTTACTTTTTGCTACTCATTCTTCTTGTTTTCTTTTCAAATCTCTTCCATTTTTTTCTGTTTGCTTCTCTTCCATTTTTTTTTTTTTTTGCTTCTCTTCCATTTTTTTTTTCTTTTTGCTTCTCTTCCATTTTTTTTTTTTTTTTCTTTCCATTTTTTTTTTTTTTTGCTTCTTTTTTTTTTTTTTTTTTGCTTCTCTTCCATTTTTTTTTTCTTTTTGCTTCTCTTCCATTTTTTTTTTTTTTTTTGCTTCTCTTCCATTTTTTTTTTTTTTTTTGCTTCTCTTCCATTTTTTTTTTTTTGCTTCTCTTCCATTTTTTTTTTCTTTTTGCTTCTCTTCCATTTTTTTTTTTTTTTGCTTCTCTTCCATTTTTTTTTCTTTTTGCTTCTCTTCCATTTTTTTTTTTTTTTTTCTCTTCCATTTTTTTTTCTTTTTGCTTCTCTTCCATTTTTTTTTCTTTTTTGCTTCTCTTCCATTTTTTTTTTTTTTTTACTTCTCTTCCATTTTTTTTTTTTTGCTTCTCTTCCATTTTTTTTTTTTGCTTCTCTTCCATTTTTTTTTTTTTTTGCTTCTCTTCCATTTTTTTTTTTTTTTTGCTCTCTTCCATTTTTTTTTTTTTTGCTTCTCTTCCATTTTTTTTTTTTTTGCTTCTCTTCCATTTTTTTTTTTTTTTTTGCTTCTCTTCCATTTTTTTTTTTTTTTTTCTCTTCCATTGTTTTTTTTTTTTTGCTTCTCTTCCATTGTTTTTTTTTTGCTTCTCCATTCCATTTCTTTTTTTTCTTCCATTTTTTTTCTTTTCTTCCATTGTTTTTTTCTTTTTGCTTCTCTTCCATTGTTTTTTTCTTTTTGCTTCTCTTCCATCGTTTTTTTCTTTTTGCTTCTCTTCCATCGTTTTTTTCTTTTTGCTTCTCTTCCATCGTTTTTTTCTTTTTGCTTCTCTTCCATCGTTTTTTTCTTTTTGCTTCTCTTCCATCGTTTTTTTCTTTTTGCTTCTCTTCCATCGTTTTTTTCTTTTTGCTTCTCTTCCATCGTTTTTTTCTTTTTGCTTCTCTTCCATCGTTTTTTTTTTTTTTGAATAAAAATCTTTTTTTTTTTTGCTTCTTCATCGTTTTTTTTTTTGCTTCTCTTCCATCGTTTTTTTTTTTTTTTTCTCTTCCATCGTTTTTTTTTTTTCTTCTTCCATTTTTTTTTTTTTTTGCTTCTCTTCCATTTTTTTTTCTCTTCTTTTCCATTTTTTTTTTTTTTCTTTTTTCTTTGCTTCCGTTTTTTTTTTTTTTGTTTCCGTTTTTTTTTTTCTCTTTGCTTCCGTTTTTTTTTTTTTTTCTCTTCCGTTTTTTTTTTTTTTTTTTCTCTTCGCTTCCGTTTTTTTTTTTTTTTCTTTGTTTCCGTTTTTTTTTTTTTCTTTTGCTTCCGTTATTTTTTTTTTTTTCTTCTCTTCCGTTTTTTTTTTTTTTTTTCTCTTTTTTTTTTTTTTTTTTTCCGCTTCCGTTATTTTTTCTTTTCACTTCTGTTTTTTTTGTTTTTTTTCATTCCTCTTCCTTCTTTTTCTTTTTTCTTCTCCCTTTCGTCCTGGGTATGCTGATAAACTACATGCGCGTTCTGGGTAAGACAATAAACTACATCCAACAGCAAGGCCTCTGATCAGGAGGTTTTGAGGAGTGTGGAACCACCTCTTAATTGTTGGCGTTCCCAGATCCACCCTGACCCAGTGTGGTAGCACCTGTTTGGGTTTGCAGCTATGGGCAAATAGGGGTTAAAACACTATGAAAGGGTAAAATAGGTTTTAATACCAAAAATACTTTGTAAAAAAATTATTAAAAAAAAAAAATTACCAGCTATTTTGGAAAAAAAAAAAAAAATATTACTAGCTATGCATTTTTAAAAAAAAAAAAAAAATGAAGGAAAAATACATATTTGAAGGAAAAAATATTTTTTGATAGATTTTTTTGGAAAAAATATTACCAGAAATACATTTCTGGAAAAAAAAATGTTACCAACAATAAAAATTTTGTCTGCATTAAATGACCTATTGAGGTTGATATGCCATAAATCAGACCAATTCTTCCCCGTTTTCTTTTCCTTTACTCTTCCTTCGTTTTTTTTTTCCTTTACTCTTCCTTCGTTTTTCTTTTCCTTTACTCTTCCTTCGTTTTTCTTTTCCTTTACTCTTCCTTCGTTTTTCTTTTCCTTTACTCTTCCTTCGTTTTTCTTTTCCTTTACTTCATTAAAAGGTACTTTCAGCTTTGGTTATTAATTAATTATGGCAGGATTCAGAACATTGTCTGTTGATTTGTAAAAAAATTTTTCCAGAAAAAATGCACAAAATTCTTTTCATTTATTTTCTTTTTCTTTTTTCTTAATTGGAAAGAATAAATTTATCCAAATTTTTCATTCTCCATTGGATGAATTTCTTTCTACTTTTATTTTAATAATAATGTCCCATTGCCTACTCTATTGGAGGCCAGAGTTTTCTTTCTCTTACACTGATTATCCCCCAAGGTTAGAGAGCCAAGTCTATCCTGCTATTTAACCTGTAGCTGGTGGCGTATGAGTGGATTCATGCTATTTCTAAGGCTATTAGTGCAAAGTGACTAGCCTAAAATTTAAACTTTACTCACCAATTCTACTTTTTGCACTGATAACAGTTATGCTACCTGCACATTCCCCATTTTAATTAATTTTATAACACTGTTTTGATGAAACAACTTCTTTTGTTGGCAATGGCTTAGATTTTTCTTCTTCATATAAAGGATGTCAGACTTAAAGAGAAATACATGATAAAGTGGTTCTATTAAAAAGAAAGTTCTCTGGTGTTTAACATATGACAATGGCTTATGGTAAGATGGAGAAGTACTAGGAAGAGGAAAAAAAGTCAAACAACTATGTCCTGACCCCAAAAAGAAGAGATATTGAGCAAAATTTCATGGAAAGATTAGCTCAGGGGGAGGTGTTGTAATGGAATGTCCCACACTCCCTATCGCCTATGTGGACTGATTTTATCAGTAGATATATATAGTGTGCACAGGACATACTTGGCATACTTACTTCAGGAATTACTAGCTTGCTAACTGATTCCCTGTCTTTCAGTAGTGTATTCTCTTTTACAATAAGCCTCTTTCTTTCATCTACGCCCGTGTTGCTGTTCCTTTCACTCGCGTACCACCTTTGTTTGTAACCTCTTTAAGGATACAACAGCTTAAGTGATAAAAATAAACAAGATGAGGATTTTAGCACATAATTTGTATCTTGCCTTTGTATCTTGAAATGGACAAGTGACACAAAGGTGAATGAGGTCAATGTTTTTTTTTTTTTTTTTTTAAAAATCATATCACCCTAAATATGACACACAGTGTCAGTCCTGGTCTATGGCAAACAATTATGACCCTTCTCACTGGTCACTTCTGGATCAATTTTTATGCTGGTCAATACTGCTGCTGGCCATTGAAGTTGGTCATTCTGATCTATGCCCTGCACCGCCCTACATTTTGTTGTTTGATCATGAAGCTGGCAAAGACCAAGTTGTCATCAACAATTGTATCACTGATTCAATCACAGCAAAAACATGTCACAAAGGAAAAAATTTTAAAAAATGTTCCTTTCAGACAAAATAAAGGAAAGACAGGAATTTCTTCAGGTTCTATTTTCTATGTGGTTTCCATTGTTCTTTGTAGAGAAATATTAACCATTCCATTTTTAAATTGTTGTAACACTTTGCTCAATTTAGCTAAGCCTGGAACAAGGCTTAAGTCGGGCATTCTCTTTGGCAGCAAGTCACTTGGGATTTAGCAGCTCCTCCTGCTCTCTGGTCTCATTTGCATCTCTGGCCGGCAACTCTGGAATTGTTTTTTTTGTTGATTCAGTTTTCTGCTTATATTGCAAGGCTGGCATAGGGATCGAAATGGTGAGGGGACCCGGTGTTTCACCTATCTTCCTACAAGAGTTCTTTGTTGTCTGGCTTTGGAAAATTATCTCCCCAAATTTGGGAGATTCCTTTTCCTATGGGCAGCAGTCATAAGTACTAACCGGCCCTGATAATTCTTCCTTTCTCTTATTTGTACCTTGTGCCATTACTTCCCAATGGGCATAGGCAATTCCTCTGTTCTTCTTGGTACCTTACCTGTGCCTGTCACCTCGGTTGTCATTTTGACAAATCTGGTTTTCAAACTGTGTGGTGTGGCTTAGCTTCTGGTTATTAATTAAAATTATCATTTTAATTACTTACTGGCAAATTTTTCCCAGCCTTGTCTTATTCATACAATCAGAAATTTACCAACTGTTTCCTCCAGCAGCTATCTCCATATCTTGTTAACTCATTTGCACTTTAAAAACCCTGGGCTGGGTATTTACCTAAAGAAATTCTATTTCTCAACTTGTTTATAAATTCTACTTTTTGATAGATTGAATAAATTGATTTTTTCTATTCTGCCTCATCTTCAAAAATTACCAAATATTATCTTTTCAATCAGCTTTCTTTTCCGATTGTTTCCTCAGAGATGTTTTCATAACTTCCACTTAAAGTCAGTACCATCAATCAATTTTCTGCCCAGCTTTTTCCAGATGGCCTCTGTGGTAATATCTTTCCCCAAAACAACAAAATCACTTTTTTAAAGCCGTCTCTGCTTAAAAAATAGAAAGTAAAATTAAAAGAAATTTTGCTTTTTTTCTCTCAGTTTGTCTGTTGATCCATTATTTAACCATTTTCAACTTGTTCTAAGTTATATTTTAATTTTAACACTTTTTTTTTCGTTTGCCAGTGTCACATAGTGGCAATAAAGCCGTTAAGATGCAAAGGATTAATGAGTAAATAAAGAGTATGAGAAAAAGGAAAACATTAAAGAGAGATCAAGGAAAGAACAAGAATTAAGAAGACAGAAGATAACGATTGATATTGCATTTTAATTTTTGCAGATCAAAATTGACAGGAAAGCAAGAAAATGAAAGAGTTTAACCAGTTAAAGGTTACAGTTATATCCAGCCATTTCAACTGTGAAATGATGGAACCTACCTCAATCTAGTGCTGCATTTAAATTCATAAAGTTATGGTAATGAAAGGGAATGCTCATCTGAACAATTACCATGAAAATATTTATAGAAAAAGGTCAGGGAAGTTATGTTACAGTTGTGGGAAAGTGACTGAAGCCATGTCAGGACCAATAATATTGCAGATTCTTTTTTGGATTTTATCAAGAATCTCTAAATATATAGCAGAAGCACCAGACCAGATGTAGCAGCAATATTCAATGCATGGATGAATGGTAGACTTATAAATGTGTAGGGTATATTCTGGAGAGAAAAATTGTTTCGCTCAATGCAGTGAACCAATTTTTCTAGTAGAAGACCTTGCAACTGATTCAATATAATCTTTCCACTTCATATCAGCAGAGAATGTTAGCCTGAGAAGGTGCAATGAATCACTCTTCTGGATGTTAGCATCAACCATACTGATGGAATGTAAAAAAGGGTTCTCTCTGAACATTAAAAGAGGCCAGTTTTGTTTTGGAGGCATTAAAATTAACAAGCCATTTCTTGCCCCAGTTAACATCAGATTGTAAGTCATTTTTTAGATCAGTTGCCAATTTAACTGTATCAAACAGATCAGATTTACCTTTAAGATAGGAATAAATAGTTATCATCAGCATAGGCACCAATTTGAGAACTGATGACATCAGGAAGATCGTTGATGTACATTAGGAACAACTGCTCCTAATTTCCATTGTCCTGGGTATGATGATAAACTACATCTGGCAGCATGGTTTCTGATGGGGAGGTTTTGAGAAGCATGAAACCACCTCTTAATTGCTGTTGTTCCCAGGTACCTAGGTTGGTAGCACCTGTTCGAGTCTTAGCTATGAACAAATAGTTAACCCACAAACTAATTTTTATAGTAAAAGTACCAGCAATACACTTCTTTTTAAATATATATTAGCAATACATTTGACTCAACAAAAACCCTCTTTAAAAAAATCTGTCAATGAAACCTGATCTACTAACTAACTTCTTACAAAGAATTTATATGAACCTATCCTAAAAATCTTGTCAGCATTAAATATCCCATTGAGGTTGATATGCTGTAAAACAAAATAAACCAAAACCAAGCCTAATTCCCATCAACAAACCTCAGGTGTTATTTCATATTGGTTAATAATTAGGATTATTAACTTATACGAGTCATCTCCCCATAACATAGCAGACTGAAAACAATCTACCCCAATGGATTAAATAAAAGGTTTGGTTCAAAATTCCAAGAAGGTTATTGAGTAAAAGACACAACTGAAGAAGACCAACGGTTACAATAGTTGAAACGTTGTGCGTATAAGATGAACAAGCTGATTGGAATAATAAAGCATACAACAACAACAATAATAATTATTAATCTCAAAAATTGACATTTTTTTTTTTCTCTTTCTGTCTTTTAGTAACATCAGTTCCCCAAGTCAAAATCCCTTAAATAATTCCAAGTCAACGAACAAGTCAAGTGCTGCTAATTTGTTGTTCAGGACTTGCCAGAAAAGGATCAATGTTACTCCTGAAAATGAAGAAGCCCCTGAGATTGAAATGAGCCTCAACCAAGTGTTAGGAGGAGGAGGAGGAGGAAAGAAAACGGTAGCAAATTATCACAAGACCGCCATTCAGAACAGCCTGTTACAATGGCAGAACAAAAACAATGTTGTTGCAACAGGAGATACGGGAACATTTCAAGAAAATCTCAGTCCTTTGGATGAAAATGTTGATGGTGATTTTGCTGGTGTTTGCCAACACAAAGATGGTTCCCTTATTGGTAGGTATGCTCTGGCTTATTTTTGCCATGTTTTTTCTTCTTTTCTTTTTTTTAATTCTCTTTTTACTGTATTCTTATGATCATATTTGCTTCTTTTTTTTTTGTTTGTGTTCTTATGATTTGTTAGTGCCGTGACATCTTGACCTCATTATTACATCAGAATTAATGAGTTACTTCACTCTACCAGTCTCTAATCTCATTACAAATGGACCAATGGTTACCAACCTATTTTTGTGCCATGCTCCATTCTAAGCATCCTGATACCCTCCCATAGCCATATAATTCTTATTATTCAACAAGTGGACACTTATTCATGTGCAGGAAGCCTAAAATGCTGTTAACTTAACTTCCCTTAAGAACTTCAAACTGCATATATGCAATAGTATTATCATTTAATTTTAGAATTTTACAGTATTTATAAAAATATTTTTACTTATATATGTGTGTGTGTGTGTAAATATATAGAAAAATAGGAAAGAACACATTAGGTAAATAATCCAAAGTTCTTTAGTATTTTTGTTTTTATTTTTAAAAAACAGTGCTCAGTACATAAGTAGAGCGTAAATTATAATTATTTTTTAAAATTATAATTATTTTTTTATTTTTTTATAAAAATTGGATTCTGTAATCATATTTTTTCATTATTTTGTGTGATTTTGTAACATCAGGCAAAAACAAATCAGGCAAAAGCACAAAAGGTGAAACCCAGAGTTACAAATTAATATTCATACAACAGAAATAGATAATATTAGTGGTCAATATATATATCTAAATTCCCAAGAGGATAGAATCCAGGTAGAGCTCAATGTCCAGGACAGAGCAAGAATATAATATAAAAGGCTCAAGCACTAATATTCCATGGTTATAATTTATCACATTGGAATTGTAATCATGTTCCAATTCATTTATATATATATATAGCCACTTGTATTTGAGGATACTTGTCTACTAGGGCAGCTAGTCAATCCCTATTGCAGACGCTTGCTCAGGCGCATTTGCGTTTATTCAACACCCACAGAGCCCACCTGTGGTTTATACTACAACTATGCTGAGCAGACCTTAGTTACAGTTTCTGGAAAAGAGTGTGTTTTCTAGCATGATCAACAATTTGAACAAGGCCAACACGATCAAACCATCGGTCATGATGACTTGTAACTTCGTGCAAGCACAGTTATCAACGTTACCCAAGGGTTCTGTCTACACAATTTCACTCACAACGCTTGGGTCAACCCATGGTATGGTTTTCCGGCACTTTCCAAACGTGCTGCACATTGGGATCGACCCCTCCAGTCCGATAACATCAGGAAGTCTCCTTCTTGAAAATTGACACTGATCAGATTCAAACCCTGGTCTCATGGTCAGAATGAGAACATAACCACTTGGATATGTGCCCATTTTATATATATATATATATATATATATATATATACGAGGGTCATTCAATAAATAAGGTGAATTTTTCGGTATAAGGACTTCTAATACAGATAGAAGCTTAATTTTTTTTTATTTTTCAACGTAGTCTCCCAGCACTGTCACACACTTTTCCCATCTGTGCACAAGCTTCCGTATTCCCTCAGCGTAAAAAAATTTTTGTACTGATGTCTCGGCCAGTCGCTCACAACACTTTTGACTTCATTGACACTTTTAAACTTCATGCCTCTCGTGAACGCTTTCAAGGGACCAAACAGGTGAAAGTCTGAAGGGGCAAGGTCTGGGCTGTAAGGGGATGAGGGAGCAGTTCCCAGCCCAGCTCATTGATGGTCTGCACCATTTGGATTGCTGTGTGAGGCTTTGCGTTGTCATGATGCAAGATGACTCCTTCTGACTGATGACCCCTGCGTTTGTTCTTTATGTCTTTCTTGACCTGCCTCAGCAGTTCACAGTAGTTCTTCTATCAGACTGAGGTCATTGGCGGATTCGATCACCTCAGGAGACCTCACTTCTGTAGGCCTCCCAGGCCTGTCTTCATCCTCAATACTGCTAAATCCTTCTTTAAACAATTTAGCCCACTTGTAGATATTTTTTGGCTGAAACATGTGGCACCATACACAGTTGACATTCTCCTATGAATTTCAACTGGTTTGCACCCTTCAACAACCAAAAATGTGATAACTGACCGCTGTTCAATCCTGGAGCATGCTTCTTGGTCAGCCATCTTTGTTAATTGCCAAAACTCTCAAAGTTTTTTTTTTAATCTGCAATAGAAATTAAATTCATGTGAAAAAGAAATAAAATAAAGAAAGTAAGCTTCTATCTGTATTAGAAGTCCTTATACCGAAAAAAAAATTCACCTTATTTATTGAATGACCCTCGTATATATATATATATATATATATATATATATATATATATATATATATATATATTACATATGTAATTCCGCATGTGCATACCTGCACACAAATATTTTTATGTATGCAGACTGTATATATACCATATGTATTAACTTGCACACATATTCAAAAAATTCAATAACTCATTTTCAAATTCCCCCCCCGTGGGAACCACAGTAATAGACACTGTTGCTTTGTTGTGTGTGTGTGTGTATATATATATATATATATATATATATATATATAAACATTCTGTGTCCAATAAAATTTCAGATTTTGATATTGTATTTTTGCAGCCATTAATTTCAGTGTGAACCCAATGCATTTAGAAACTGGTGAGTTAATGTTCTGCTTGTGGGTCAGTCAGGATTTAGACAAAAGTAGCATCAATAATTTCACCTTGGATTTTACCAGCACATCCAATGAAGATTCTGCAAATATCACTGACTCACAGGTGAGTTACTCCACTTAATGTGCACGTGTATTTTATAAACCTTACCCTCCTTTCTTCTGAGATACCAAAATGAAATAATTCCCAAACTGCTGTTCCTTAAAAGTCACAATGGTAGCAACACAGTAATTGTTTTAGTTTCAACATGTGATAGAATAATTCAACACTATTTACATTATTCGATATTGTTGCCATATTTATCACATTGTTTTGGACGTTGTACTCTCTGGCCTTCAGGTGGTTGGAATGTCGAACTGAACCATTTATTTCGCACACTGGGTTAGACTGTTCTAGTTCCACGTTCAATGCATGTCAGTTATCTCCTGTTAATTCACTTCTCCAAGTTCTCCACTGCCTTAACCAGGTATTGAACTTACACTCTTTTGGGTCCTGTCACTGGATCTAACCAACGCCTTTATCCACTGTGTCATGTGTCCTTATGGACCCAAAAGAGTTGTGAGTTCAATACCTGGTTAAGGCAGTGGAGAACTTGGAGAGGTGAATTAACAGGAGATAACTGACATCAATTTGACATGGCACGTGGAACTAGAACAGTCTACTCCAACAAGCGAAATAAAGTGTTCAGTTCAACATTCCAACCACCTGAAATAGGCGGCACATACAATGGCCAAAACATTGTGATAAATATGGCAACAAAGATGAGGACAATAGTCTGAATAATATAAATAGTGTACATAATACCTCATCTCAGAAATATAGACAGATACTGAAAGGCCAAAACGTTAATAGATATGGCGACAAAGATGAGGACAATAGTCTGAATAATGTAAATCGTGTACATAATACCTGATCTCAGAAATGTAGACAGATACAGAATAATTCAAGTCTTCATAAATGAAAGCCAAGTTAGAAACTTTTCAGAAAAAAAATATTTTCAAATTTTAAACAAGCAAATAGAAAACAAGTTATACATTTTTTTAAATGCCACAAAGATGAGTTTAGTGTGAATCTATTAAGTTTTTCTTTTTACATATGTAATGAACCAACTCTACCTGAAAATTACAGATCTGAGGTACCCAGAAAAGAGTAAACACCTTGGTTTTCAAGATAAGCAAACAACATTTGATTGTCTTTCCTTTTTTCATCTTTTTGTTTATTTTTCTTCCCCAGGTATGTTCTTCTGGTAGTTTTGGGGGTGGCAAAACTGCTGAGGGGGTTGAGGAGTCTTACCCCCCCTGCAAAGCATTTGATCACAACTATCAGAATTTACGTACCATTGGACATGGAGCTTTTGGATTTGTTGTTGAGTCCTTGGAGCAATCAACTAAAATGGAGGCAAGTTTCAAACTCTCATGGAATTTAAATCTAGTTTTTGTTTTGTTTTTTTATTGTGTGGAACTGATGTTAAAAACAGATATTTTATAACATTTTTGGATACTCTTGAATTTAGTGAAAATATATTTTTGAAATCCAGAGGGATCCATCTTAGAATTTATAAACACTATTTTTTGGCAATTTCTCTTGGTCTGGCCAAAATTAAGATTCCTTTGTATCTCAAATTTATTACTTTGAAGATGACATTGATCTCATATGATCTCTTAATTTTGTAAGATTTATATTTTGTTTGGCCAAGATTTAATCTTTGAAAAATTCAAGTTAAGAACTAATTATGGTAAAGTTCATCAAACCCAGCTTCCATTATGCCAACAGAGTTGAACTACTACTTAAAAAGATATTTAGGGGGAACTGTTGATGTAGGAAGCAAATACAGCTTAGAATATTAAAAGAAAAAATATTGAGCTGATTTGAGTGATTGGTGGAATGATAGATCAGGTTGATTGATCCTGCAACATTTTATACCGTTATGTTCTAGAAAATTGTTTTGTATTGATAATTCTATAAAATCCTTTTAGAAAAGGATTTGACACAGGAAAATCGAAAACACTTGAATTCAGAAATTGAATATCATTTAAGAACTGCAAAAATTGGGAAAGTCAAATTCATTTCCATAAGACACTACTTGATGAAATTATAACAGGAGAGAGCTATAGAAGAAAAGTTTCTTCTCTCATTTGTATTTCTCCCATTATGGGCATTATTACATCTGTGATATAATAACACCATACTTCATGGACGGAATGGAATAGCTAAATGAAAACAAAATGCTTTGTTCTCAGAGTTTTATAAAGAGTTGTACACAAAATTATATATACATATATAATTGTGTCCCACACAGAGAAATTATAACATATGCAACAACAGTGTGTAAAAAAAGAGGAATCTTGTAATATTTTCCAAAAGGAAAACTGGAGTTATGGTGGTTTCTCTATGAACCTTGTGAGGCTGTGTGGTTTTTCCTGTAAGATCTGCTGCTGTGGGCTAGAGACGTCCTTCTTCTGCAGGCTCTACATCACAACTAGTGTTCATCACTCTATTCCTCCTGACATCATTCACTGGCTGTCACTTGACCCTTGTGACTATCTCAACAAAAGGGAGCCAATCGCCTTTTGTATCCTTACAGAAGTCTGTATAACCACTTTCAACAAATCCAAATAGAAACATTTAGAAAGGATCATAATATAACATGCACTTGCCTGCTTGCTATCTAAAAGAGTGTTACTTCTGTGAGATTAACCCACTTGTCTGCCAAAGAACTTCTGCTAATGATCACTAGATGGCATCACCAAAGCAGTATATAAGAAAAGAATGCAAAAGTCTCAATTTCTTAACCCTCAGGATGCCTTGAAGATAAGACATGTTTCAGGTTAGGGAGCAGACATAAACCTGATGGATTTTTGCATATATTGATTGATTTCATGTCAAATCAATGAAAAGAATTTAACCCATAATACAGGGGAAGTAACTCATGATTATCAAACCAAGCATTGCAAAATATTACTTTTAAAAGTTTGGCATCTCAACGTTCCACGTTTGTAAGGAATGAGCAAATTTTATGAATAAAAAATAACAATTCATTTTTTTAATTAATAGACAGATTTTAATTAATAATGTGAATTTTTAATTTTTTTTTTTTTTTTTTTTTTAAAGGTGATTGTCAAATACATTCTTCGGTCAAAAGTTCTTTCTGAAAATTGGCGAGATGATCCAAGTCTGGGTCAAATTCCTCTTGAAGTCAGTCTCTTATCACAACTTTCACATCCAAATATTGTTCAGGTGGGAAATTTTTTCACTTTATTTTAAGATTATTTCTCTTTTTTTTTTTTTTCTTTTTTTTTTTTGCCAAAAATTCTTACTTGAAGTCAAAATGTTTTATGGTGTAAAATATTCTAGCTTGATAATCTGTAACAGAAGGGACAAAAAAATTGTCTGTATTTCTGAGATGAGGCATTATGTACCGTGTTTACATTGTTCAGACTATCATCCTCATCTTTGTCAATGATGAGGACGATAGTATGAACAATGTAAATAGGGTACAAAAAAATTCTATGCATAAAATATTAGCTTATTGTAATTTAACCATGAACATTCTATAGGCAACTTCATTTGTGAAATAAAACTTTTCTCCTGTTCCACTTCAGGCAGCTCTGATTACCAAATAATAATGTATTTGACTTTGTTGGCTGTGCTGTCATATACTCTTATGCCAAGAGGACAATACCTCAACTGAAATCATTAATGGGCACTTGAGAGATGTTGAAAAAGAATTCAGTGGGAAAGGAAGTTGTAATTTCTTGCAATTTCTTAATTGGATTGACTAATGAAAAAAAACAATTCTATATTGCGCTATTTTTAGTTTTAATGTTGAATAATATACTACTAATAATAAACTTGTGACTGATAAATGTTATAAATATTTATTTAGATTCTAAAATGAATTAAAATTTCTTCATAAAAAATTCTATTTCTTTTAATGCTTAAACAAAAATTAACCAGAAAGTTAATAGTGAAATATATATTGATAATATTTGTGGTCAAAATATATATATATATATATATATATATATATATATATAGTTTTAAGGTGTGCTATATTTATGGGATAAAGTGCTCAGTGGTTGACCTATGAAGGCTTGAAGTGTTCGACACCGATTGCCTTTGCTGCATTCTACAATGCCGCCGAATCGATCGTGTGCCCACAGCCACTCTACATCGTCGCCTGAGTCTCCGTCCTCTTCCACCCGTCCTGCTTCAGCGTCGTCTCCTATGGTTCGGGCACGCAGCTCAACACCAGGAGGGAGAACTCATCCGCGATGTACTTCTCAATCCTTCTCTTCCTGGCTGGCGAAAACGTGGCAGTGGGCAGCTGAGGACGTGGGCTAGCACAATCAAGGATGACCTAGCAGTACTATCAGGTCCGCAAGTAGTTGGTCCTTGACGATGGAATCGCGTTTGGCTCGCCATTTCATCTGACCTGGCTCAGGATCGGCAAGTGTTGGCAGCGATGGTCCGTGATGCTGTACTTGCTCGGGAGGAAGCCGGTTCAACCTGACCAGGGTGAAAACCGATACAAGTCAAAAAAAAAAAATGTGTGTGTGTGTGTATATATATATATATATATATATATATATATATATATATATATATATATATATATATACACACACACACACATTATATATATATGTTTCCAAGAGGATAAAACCAAGGTAGAACTATATGTCAAAGACAGAGTAAGAATATAATATAAAAGGCTCAAACACTAATATTCCATGGATATAACTTATTACGTTGGAATCGTAATCAAGATCCAATTCACCAGACCTACAAATCCAAGAGGAAACAGAAAACATAACTCCAGGTATAAAAACAAAATTCTAGTGAGAGTGTATGTGTGGGAGTGAGAAACAAGGGTGAGAGGGAAATGTAAGAATGCTCTAGAGAGAAGTGTAACAGAAGAAAGAAGAACTGGAAAGGCAAGGTCAGAGTGAGGAATAAAATTTGTGTGTGTGCGCGCACACATTTTATTTTTCACCCTCACCTTAAGGCCTTTCCAGTTCTTCTTTCTTCCGTTACATATTTACATATATATATATATATATATATGTATATATATATATAGGTGTATGTGGTAATAAATAATTGGGTTTTTACTGGATTAAATATTTTTATATGTTTATGTTAAATTTGTAACCCGTAGGAGAAAATTACATGCTTTTTCAAATTGTTCTTGATTACACATAATTTTTCTTATAAATGCCCCTGTTTTCGTCTGGCCTTTTCTCTTTTTTTCTTTTCAACCTTTTTTCCTTGTGTCTTTTTCTTCCTCTCTCTCATCTTCTCTTTTCATGTATACATAAGGTTAGTAAATGCAAACCAGGCAACAACCGTCCTGGGTGTAACAATAAACTACATCCATGTCCTGGGTAAGATGATAAAGTACATCCAACAGCAAGGCCTCTGATCAAGAGGCTTTGAGGAATGTGGTACCATCTCTTAATTGCTGGTGTTCACAAGTCCATCCTGGCCTGGAGAGGTAGCCCCTCTTAGGGTCCCAGCGTATGGGCAAATAGTTAACACCCAAACTTTGGTCAAAATACTATGAATGTGTAAAAGTAGGTTACTACTTTGTAAAAAAATTATTACCAGCAATTATTTTTAAAAGGAAAAATTTAAAAAAAATTATTACCAGCAATTATTTTTTTAAAGGAAAAATTATCAGCAATACTTTAAAAGAAGAAAAAAATGACCACCAATACAAACAGCTGTACATTTTTGGAAAAAAATATTACCAGCTATACATTTTTTGAAGAAAAAATATTACCAGAAATAGATTTTTGAAGAAGAAAATATTACCAGAATTACATTTTGAAAAAAAATATTACGAGCCATAAAAATTGTCAGCATTAAATGACCCATTGAGGTTGATATGCTGTAAAACATTCCAAAGTAAACCGTAGTCAAAATTCTATGAAAGTGTAAAAATAGGTTTTAATACCAGAAATACTTTGAAAAAATTATTGTCAGCAATACATTTTTGAAAAAAATATTACCAGCAATACATATTTTCTAGGAAAAATATTACCAGAAATAGATTTTGAAGGAAAAAATATTACCAGAAATAGATTTAAAAAAAAAAAAAATATTACCAACAATAATTTTGTCATCATTAAATAACCCATTGAGGTTGATATACCATAAAACAAAACAAACTAAATCAAAATTTTCATATATACATCGGCATTGTAAATTGGCTAGAATTTAAATTTGGATCGTATAATCATTTATTGTCTAATGCTACCACAAATATATCCACCCTTTTCTGATGTCTGTTTTTTTTAATTTAGATCAACGAATCGGTAGTCGATTTATGCAACTGATAATAACTCATATTTATCTGTATCTCACTCATTTAAACTGTTATTTAACTTCTCTCTTTAAAACTCCTCTCTTTTAAATTTTATTCCTCACCCTTGCCTTGAGGCTTTACTGTTCTTCTTCCATTACACCTGTCGCTAGAGCTTTCATACATTTACCTCTCACCATTGTTTCCCCACACATACACTCTCACTGTAATTTTGTTTTTATACCCAGAATTATGTTTTCTGTTTCTTTTTGAATTTGTAGGTATGATGAATTGGATCGTGATTACGATTCCAATGTAATAAATTATATCCATGGAATATTAGTGTTTGAGCCTTTTATATTATATTCATGCTCTGTCTTTGACATAGTTCTACCTCTGGAAAACACACACATATATATATATATATATATATATATTATGTTATCAATATATATGAATACTTTCTGGTTAATTTTGTTTAAGCATTTTAATAGAATTTTTATGAAGAGATTTTAATTCATTTTAGAATCTAAAAAAATATTTATAACATCTATCAGTGACAAATTTTTTTTTTTTCAAGTTTTTATATTTATAAAAAGGAAATATGAACATGTCAAAAGAAAAACTTGCAACTAAGTTTTTGGGAGTTTTTTTGGGGGGGGGCGGAGAAGGCTGAAAAGTATTTTGCTTTGTTAGACTTGACTGAATTTCTAGCAATGAAATTTTTTTTATTTTTTTTAATGTCTTCTGCAAAAAGGGATGTTAAAACAGGATGTTGATTAATAAACTGAGTGACAGCCCTTCACTAAACAATAGAAAATTTCACCCCGAGGTGAAATTTCAATGCCTAAAGTTTAAATCCACTTTGGCAGGAAGGGAGACAAGCCTGCTACTATCACCGCTGAGAACACATCCATTAAGCTGAGGGAATGGGAGTCTAATACCTTCAGAAATTTGTTAGCCAAGGATGGTGAGTTCAGTCCTTGGTAGGACCACAAGTGTCAGCATAGTTAACAAGGATGATCACTATTTTCATGTTCTTTCTACATTCAAATATAAATAGTATGTTGTTTCAAAATAGTGTTTAGTTTTCAGAATGAAATAAGACTAGTATGCTTCCATCTACAAGCAGAAATACTTATCACTAATTCAGTGCAATTTTTTTGTTTGAGATGTTAAGAGCCAATTATGAATGAGAAAAATGACTTGTAAAAGAGAGTAACAAATCAAGATGCAATTTTTATAGATTTCCACAAGAAAAAATTAAGAAGCCAACAAATTGACTCTTTGCAGTTGATAACCAAAAAATACATTGAAACTTACAAATCCGTTCTGTTATATTAAGCACATGGTGGCAGAACAAAGAAGAAACGATGGAGGTTTAAGAAATAAACAATTGTATTAACGTAAAAATACAACAAATGGTAAATAGGTGTAAATGTCTCTCGTTGAAAGAAAGAAATAAGTAGAATTGTAAAAGTCATCCACAGAGACGTGCAGTAGGAGAAGGAGGGTGAGTTATGACTTACTGCAACGACAGCCTTTGGCGAGTTGTCTTTGGAGATGAGAGGTTGTGTTCCAACAAGCATTGTGAATCCTGGTTGTTGTGCCGTCCAACTGCCAAAGATGAGCTTTTATGTCCTTTTCTTAGGCTCAGATCGGCTCCAATTTTTATTTTGTTTCTTTAGGCAGGAGTGGGTGCTATTGGGTGGAAATTCTGGATTGTATTTTTCTTTGAGTGTGTAAATAAAATGGAAGCTATGTGCAGAGCCAATGCGCAGTTGAGAAAATTTTTAGTTCACTCTTGGGTTTTGTAGTGTTTACATCCAGCCAGTGGTGGAAATTTCTGTAATATGAATCAGAAGATCTGGTTTTTAAAAGATTATAACAATTCATTTTGGTTAAACATTTGACTATTTTAGATGGAATCCCGTTTTTTGCATCTGTAATTTGTAAAACATTTTGCTCAAAATTGATGTTATTAAATTACTTTTCTGTAAATTTTATGAACTGAAAGAATTAAAAATATTTTTCACTAGACATTTGCTGAATGCTGTGGTTCAGTTTTGATAATAAATTTTTTCTTCCAAAATTGGCCAAGTTATTACATTTTGCATGTAAAAATGTCCAATACCTTTTTTTGTTCTCCAACCTCATTTGTTGTCTTGTTTCTTTTTTTTTTTTTTACTTTCCCCTCAACTCACTCTCTAAAGAACTCTTCATCTGTTTTATATTGATGACAGGTTTTGAATGTATTTGACAGCAAAGATTATATTTTGATGGTCATGGAGAAACATGGAAGTGGAATGGACTTGTTTGAATTCATCGAACACAAACCAAACATGGACGAAGGACTGCATAGTTATATTTTTCGACAGGTAAAAAAAACAAATCTATTTTTTTGCCTTCCTGAAAGGCAAAATCATTTCTCTCCCTCAAATATGTATTTTAATTGTGTACGTGTGTATTGTCTTTGCTGTGGGTATTATTATGCATACTTGTTTGTGTGTGTAATGTATATTGTGAGGAGAAGGGTGATAACCTACTTGTATGAGTAGACCCTCAGAGTCTTAGCTGCAGGAGTTGCCAAAAGTTTGTCAGTGTTGACATTCAGGTCTCCACTCCAGATTTTCTGTGGATTTATATAACGAAGAAAACAGCGACTTACCTCGTCAAACCAAGCGACAGCGCCTTGCGTGTATTCTACAGCGGAAAAAGTGGCAAAAAAGAAAATTACTTACCAAACAAAAGGGCACATATTCTGCATGACATGCTGAAAATGGAATATTTAAATTAAAAAAAACAAAAAAAAAAGTCCATTGCAGGAGTCGCTGTAAAAGTATTTGGTGTTCTCGATTCGAGAGTGGAAAATTCGTGCATTTTTGGCTACGGCGTTTGTTAGCGAGTGAGTTATTTTTCTGACTGGTTACACGCATTGTGATTTGAGATAGTACCGGCGAATCGAGTTTTCAGCATTTCTTTCTGACCCCCGATATTCGAGTCTGTACTTACAGTGATTTTTCTTTGTGTTGTGGAAGTAATCTGCAACAACTACTTCCTTTGCTTTCAGAACACTTACAATTTATTTCCATAGCCTTTTCCATATTTGAGTATGACTGCAAGGCAGTGGAGGTTTAAACGCAGGGTTTTCTCTTTCCTAGATGGACTGCCTTCTGGAGCAGTCAAGCTTCATCTACCTGAAGCAGCTGGTTACTGAGGAATCAGTTGTCCACTTTTGCCCCTTATTTGGCTTGAATCTAGACTTTGTTACCAGAGACTATTTGAGACACATGCCATGGAAGCATTTTATATACAGTGGGAGCTTTTCCCCACGACCACCCACAAGCCATGACAACTCTTGGAACATATACAATGTATCTTGTATATATGTGTATGTGTGTGTTAGATAAAATTAAATTTGAGGGACTCCTGAAATTAATCAACATCTTGAAATAATGAAGAAAAAGACCATAATAACAAGATTTTAATAGAATGGCTAAAATAAACTGTTTTGTAATTATGGTCTTTTTTGTCATTATTGCACAATGTTGATTAATTTCAGGAATCCATCAAATTTAATTTTATCTAACATATAGCTGACTTTAGTTTGCAACATTTCAACTCTGTGTTTGGGACTTCTTCACATCTTTTAAGCACAGTGTGGTTGGAGTTGTCTTCTATAAAAGATATTACTAAACCAGTGAATAGAACACTAGAGTTTGTTCATCATTTATAGTTTTACTCACTTAGAAGATGCTCTGTCAGGCAGTATTTAAGCTAGCTCCTGCAGAGGGATCTTGATTGGGCTTTCATCACAATATGTAGAGACTAGTAGATGTGATAGGCAATAATAAATTACAGAGGAACTCAAAATTGATTACTGCATTTAAGTATTGCACTAATATTTAAGCTTACCTTTTAAAAGTTCAACAATAATTCTTCTACTGCCACTTAATTTAAAGACAATTTGTTGTATGTAGGTCCTTACTTACAAACAGTAATTTTTATTTCATGGGTGACTTTTGCTGGATTTTGCAATTAATTTTGATTATTGCCAAGTTTATCTCAAATTTATAAAAATTATTGTACAAAAAAAATTATCAAAAAAATCATTTAAAAAAACAAAAAAATTCACTGAAAACAATCACAGTAATGAAAACTTGAGAAACGAGGATCCAGATCCAGCCTGGGATATTTTTAATTTGCTCGTGGAGTCGGCCTGATTCCAAAATGGTATATGTTGGGCTCTGGCCTCTAATAGTAAAGTTGAAAAAGTTTGACACACTGACATTCACATTTATTTATATAGAAGATGAAATGTTTAAAATTTAGAGAGTTGTGTCCCTTTAATTGAAAAGTGGCACAGTTTATTTATTATGGTAGATATTTGATTGTCTAAATTCTAGCGTTACATACCACAGAATATGTGCGGTTTGCTATGTATGGATTTTTTTTTGTTGTTGATTTATGAGGAATGGAACAGAAGAAAAACCTCTTAATTGAACATAATTTTGAATTCATTTTTTACCCCTTCTCTTTGTAGCTTGTGTCTGCTGTTGCATATTTGCATCAGTGTGGAATTGTCCACCGTGACATCAAAGATGAAAACATAATTGTGAACGAGCATTTTCACATTAAACTGATTGACTTTGGTTCTGCTGCTTACATGGAACCTGGCAAGATGTTTGCCACTTTCTGTGGAACTGTTGAATATTGCAGCCCTGAAGTGCTTATGGGAAACTGGTTGGTTCCTATTGGTTTTATATCTTCTTTTTTTTTTTTTTTTTTTTTTTTTTTAAATTGATCAAGTCCCACTACCAAAGCCCACAATGAATCTCTCACATTTTTCAACATGTGCAAGTTGTGTAATAGACAATACCTCAGAATGAGAAATTGGAGGACTGTGTTCAAATTCCAGTTGAGTTTGTTATATTCACTTATGTGCAAATACCATTGACAAGGTATAAATCCATGTCATGCACCCCCCAGCTATGGGTTAAATAGTAGGACTTGTATCTGGAAAAATCATTGTTACTTCCAAAATATTATTAATGCAATATTCACTTGCAAAAAAAAAAAAAAAATTATTCCTAAAATCCTAAAAATGTTTTTGATATAAATAACCCATAAAGCTGTAAAAAAAAAAAAAAAACACATTTTGCATTTTGTCAATTGAACATTTGGGGACAGATTGTTTTTAGGAGATAAAAAAATTCGAATCTCCAAGATTATCTTATGAGTTATGGGGGGGTCTCTGACGGCAACATTTGGAGAAGGCCAGATAGAAAAATCAAACAATTTTTTTTTTTGAAAAACTTTTGCTTCTGCAGATTTTTAGATGATTGGAATGTGTATATATTTCTTTATTAAAACTTTTTTTCTTCTTCTTCTCTAGGTATGATGGACCTGAATTAGAGGTGTGGTCAATGGGGGTCACTCTTTACACACTGGTCTATGGAGAAAATCCATTTTTCACAGTTGATGATATTTTGGCATGTAATTTTAAACCCCCTTTCCAAGTTTCCGAATGTGAGTTGATAAATTTCTAATTACAAGAAATTTAAATTTCTCTCCTTGCAAAATATTTTATGCTTGATTATTTCTTGTTTTCTCTTGTGCTCGAATTTCAAACCATTTTACATGATTGTTTTTTTTTTTTTTTTTGATGTCAACAATCGTTGCCACTTTTGTGGTATCAACGGATACTCGGTGTCACTTTCATAATGCTTGTTTTAGTAGAGACTTTGTAATCACAGATACGACTATAGTACATCGTTGACCAATTCTAGTGCCAGATGCCTTCAAATAACACTCTCACTAATAGTACTTGCTCGATAATACTCGCTCAAATAGTAATCCGTATAAAGGAATAGTATAGAGAATAGCAAAACTGAGGATAGAAGTGCAGATCATTTAGACGTCATGCAACTTCCTATATATGTGTTTCCTCTATGGTCATGTGATGGTCACTTGATTCAATAATGGGATCGCCTGTGTTTGCTCACTGGCAATCTATGTTCAAACTCAAGTGTCGGCAGTAACACTTTATTCCTATATAACAGTGTTAATCATGAATTGGGGAGCTTTTCTTCAGAACTTTTAACTGCATTATTTTTTCGAACTTTTTTGATGATTTTACTTAGAATAAAAATCAAATTTTGAGATTTTTCTCTGTATTAGAAAAGTATAAATAACTTTTTTTTTCATAATATAAAATTGTTTGTTGTACTAAGAAGTAAAATTCAATGATGACAATATTAGTCTGGCTAGGTCAGGGGTCATTATTTCATTATTGTCAAAAATTTTATTCAAGCTGTAAATGAAAGGAATTGTGGTAGCAAGTTTAACTCCTTCATAATATGCTTATATTCATTCATATAATCATAATGTTCATATATTTTTATAATTTTTTGTTTTTATTTTTTATTTTTATTTATTTTATAACATTTATAATATACATACATTCATTCATAGTTTTGTGTCACATAACCTCCCCACACCCTCCAAGAAATCATTTATAAATCTTTTAAAAAATTTCATATTCTTGTTATGTCAGTGTGATTGGGTGACCCTTCTGACATTTCCCAATAATGATGTCTGAGATGGGTGGGGTAGCAGGAATAGTGAAGCTCTCACTAAGTATATATGACATTCCATGAAATTACCATGATATTTCATACAGAATCAAGTTCTGAAGATGAAAGTGTGGCAACTCCTATACATTTCTAACTTTCATAGTCATGAAAAGAATAAGCAATATTCTACTAACTAAAAGCATCTTTCTCTTTTAATTAAAAAGGTCATTTCAACTAATGTAACTCCCAGAAATGTCTAGGAATTAACAAATGATATCCTATTTGTAGAATTTGGCAAAAAGAGGAAATCTTGCTTTAAAGATGGCAAGTTTTCGCAAAACCAAAATAAAGACCTACCCATATAAAATAAAACTAAAATAAAGACTTGCCCATGTAAAATAAGACCAAAATAAAGACCTACCCATATAAAATAAAACCAAAATAAAGACCTACCAATATAAAATAAAACCAAAATAAAGACCTACCCATATAAAATAAAACCAAAATAAAGACTTGCCCATGTAAAATAAGACCGAAATAAAGACCTACCCATATAAAATAAAACCAAAATAAAGACTTACCCATGTAAAATAAGGCCAAAATAAAGACCTACTCATATAAAATAAGGCCAAAATAAAGACCTACTCATATAAAATAAGACCAAAATAAAGATCTACCCATATAAAATAAAACCAAAATAAAGACTTGCCCATATAAAATAAAACCAAAATAAAGACTTGCCCATATAAAATAAGACCAAAATAAAGACCTACTAATGTAAAATAAGGCTGAAATAAAAACCTACCCACATAAAATAAAACCAAAATAAAGATTTACCCATAAATTTAAAAAAAATAAGTTAACAGTATCAAGGGTTTTCCAAAAGTTTTATCCAGATTGGAAATGAAAGGAATTATGCTAACAAGTTTATAACTCTAATGTTCACCATAAACTTTGATATTAAGCATAAACATAAAAATCTGGTATTGATTTTAGGTTTCTTTAAAGAAAAAAAAAAGGAATTGTACTACTAAAATGTTTCTAACTATAGTCTCTTAATACTTAGCATTCCTAAAATGGAATGGTCAAAATTAATGGGTTAATATGGAATATGATGATGATGATCTCCCACATCTTCACAGGTATTGGCTGCCTAATCACGTTCACTCCCCACCTCGCGCCTCTTTATATGACCCATTGAGGTCGATATGCAGTAAAATCAAAATAAACAAACAAACCACCTCTCTTGTGCATGACCCCAAAGGTGACTTGCCAGGCTGGCTGTGAACTTGCATGACACAAGTGACAGATGAACAGTGTGTTTGCCACATCCTTGATGGATTCACACCACTGTGTCTGATTCCTGTGCACCATCATGTGCCTTTTCTGTCCGGAGCTGGTTGTGTATATCTTGTCACATATTGAATATATGAAGAATAAAACAAATTGTAAATGATTAATTCTATCGATATCCTTCAATTTCTGCATTTATAATATTTTCTTCTCTTCTAGACTTAACTGACCTTTTGTGCTGGATGTTGTTACCTGATCCTGCCGATCGAATGACAGTGAAAGAATTGGAGACAGATGCTTGGGTCTTCCAACCAATTGATATGACTCAGTACAGCTGGCAAGAAATCATGGCTTTGTCAGGTTGGTAGTTTTCCTTTGTGTATCGAGAGCTGACTGTATCTATTCTTAGATTGGGCCTACTCATCTTTATGCACAAAACACCCAAAAGACTGTATGATTGCCACCCTCCATTTTGGGGGGCTGACAATGGACATAGCAGCAGCCATGTTGCCGTAATTTGGTCAGGTAACTATACAGGTAAACAGGCTGTCCCAAAAGTCACCCAGGGATTTAAAAAATATAATTTCCAGTTTTTTTTTCTTTTCTAGGAATTAACAAATGGTGTCCTATTTGTAGAAGTTGCCAAAAAGAGGAAATCAGCTGATACTCTCTTAAAGATGGCAAGTTTTCACAAAACTAAAATAAAGACCTACCCAGATAAAATAAGACCAACATAACGACCTACCCATATAAAATAAAACCAAAATAAAGATTTGCCCATGTAAAATAAGGCCAAAATTAAGACCTACTCATATAAAATAAGACCGAAATAAAGACCTACTCATATAAAGTAAGACCAAAATAAAGACCTACTCGTATAACGTAAGACCGAAATAAAGACCTACTCGTATAACGTAAGACCGAAATAACGACCTACTCAGATAACGTTTATTACTGAAATAAAGACCTATCAGATAACGAAGACCGAATAACGACCTACTCAGATAACATTAAGACCGAAATAACTACCTACTCAGATGATAACGAAGACCGATAACGAAGACTGAAAAACCATAAATAACGACCTACTCATTTTAACGTTAGACCCGAAATAACGACCTTTTTACCGAAATAACGAATATTGAATATAACGAAAACCAACATATATATACGACCTACTCATATAAATAAATACCTACACACCGATAATTTTAACCGAAATAACGACCTAGGTTTCCAACGAAGACCAAAATAAAGACCTACTTATATAACGTAAGACCAAAATAAAGACCTACTCCTATAACATAAGACCTATCCAGATAAAATAAAACCAAAATAAAGATTTACCCATGTAAATAAGATCAAAATAAAGGCTTACTGGTATAGAACCCTAAATACAACTGAAGGTGTAATGAGGAGCAATGAACTATCTCTCCATACCCCAAATCAAGTAGAAATACAATTACAAAATGAATTCTTTAAGAGAATCACAAAGAAGGCCAAACAAATGCTGATATATTAATTATATAATTTATATTAACATTGAACAAACCAAGAATCCCACAACAAATAAAAATCAGTTGTATTCAAGAGTAGAACGGTATATTTTGAATGCCCTTAGGTGTTTCAAATGTCAGAAATTTGAATGCCTATAGAAGAAAATGTACCAGAAGTCAGTTGGTTTTTTGTTCTTTTTCTTTTTTAATCATTTCACCCCAAGCAAGGCAATAAAAATGCAACAGGTTACTGAGAAAAAAACTTTTAAAGAGATCGAACCATAAAGAGACAGAAGATAATGATTGACATTGTATTTAAATTTTTGAAGATCAAAGTTGGCTGGGAAGCAAGAAGCCAGAAGAGTGCTCCACAAATGAGAAGTGCAGGAAAAGTAAATGTTAACATAGAACTAACAGTTACATCTAGCCATTTCAATTGTAAAATGATGAGACCTATCTGCCAATCTAGTACTGTGCTTAAATTCATAAAGTCTAGATATCCAAAGTAGAAAGTTCATCAGGACAATTACTATGAAAATATTTATAGAAAAGGCACAGGGAAACAACGTTACGGCAGTGGGAAAGTGACTGAAGCTGAGATACCAGGTCAAGGCCAATAACATTGCAGAGTCTTCTTTGGATTTTATGAAGAATCTCTAAATACATAATTTGCAGAAATTATGTATTTAGATAAATACATAGTTTGCAAATGATTTGGAGGAGAATCCAATCACCAAGAAAATGAATGTTGCTAAAGAATCAAATGTTTAGATTATGGCAAAGACCATCCAGTATATGCACATGTTTGAAAAATCTGGCAAAATCAAGAAAATACAAGAGTACCCCACTAAAGCACCTCACTACAAATGACAAAAAGCCACTAGCAAAAAAAAAAAAAAAGATATTGCTAACCTTTTAACAGAGAACTTCTCACAAAATCCCAAACAAAACATTCCAAATCATAAAACAAAATGAAGAAAAATAGAAAAACCAGCCTTTAATTCCAAAGCAAAGAATATTACTGTGACAATGTGCTCCACTTGTCCATCATTCACTGCACCTGTGATGACATCCAAGGTCAATTGTGTCTATATATACCTGATTTGCAATGTTCACAGATTTTGTCTCCTTACCCTTGATTGTATTCAACAAAAAATAACAACAAATGCTTTTCAAGACACTGGTTTGGAATTATAGATGTGATATGAATTCTCACTAAACCGACAATCTTTCCCTTTGGCTTTGATAGGAAAATAAGGGTCTTGCCTTAACAGGCGGCATGTGACATTGGCAAGTTTACCCCATGAAAATGGCATTACTCTCCCATCTAGCAGTTCCAGCAGTATGTGTGGTAACAAGGGTTTTTGTACAGTTTGGCATGCTTCCACCAAGAGCAAGTTGTGTGCTGATTGGTCGAACTGAAGGTGGCTATTTGCCTGGGTAACTGAGAATAAAAGTGAAGAACGCTGATTGGTTGGTCACCTGCAGTGTTGGCCTGATAAAAGAGGGCTGAAGCAGTGAAAACGGCAGAACAAAAGACGGATTTACATTGTGAAGTGTTCAGAAAGCAAGAACGGCGAATTGAACCAGCAGTATCTTGATTTGTACAAGTGAAGTCATATGAAAAAGTTGAATCAAAGATGGACTGGAAACAAATTTCCTAAGAAACTCGGATAATTAAGTGGACTTAAAAGGAATTTATTTACTTATCTCCTAAGGATTTGTGAGAAATTGTATTGTTACACTACAACCAACTATTCTCCTTGATGGAATTACAAGATTCATTGAGAAATTCCCACAATACAGCTGTAGATCCTGAAGATATTCACTATGAATTTCTAAAACGATTATCCAAAACATTTATTAACTACCTACTACAAATATATAATGACATGAATCAATGTCAAGGTCCCAACTATGGAAACGAGCCACTGTGATCCTGATATTCCAATTTAAAAAGACCCTACCTATCACATTTCTGACCAACTGTCTTGACCACTTGCATTTGCAAAACATTTGAAAGAATGATCAACATCAGGCTATTTGAATCAAATAACTTGATTACCAAATATGAATCAGGTTTTAGAAATAAAAGAAGCGCCATAGATTATTTGGTTTGATTGGAAAGCTTCATACAAGAAGTTTTCATCCAAAAAGAACAGCAATATTTTTTTCATTTAGAGAAAGCCTACAACAGGACATGGAGATTATGAAAGACATGAACAATCTGCGTTTTAAAGGTAGACTGCCAATTTTTATCAACAATTTTTTTTTTTTTTTTTTAAATGATAGAAACTTTAAGGTACAAGTGGGATCGACACATTCAGACCTCAAAGAATAAGAAACTGGAGTTTCATATTTAAGCACACTCGCAGTGACATTATTTAAAATAAAAATAAATCATACTGTTAAAAATCTCGGTCACAGGATAAATTGCTCACCTTATGCAGATGGTTTCATGGTCTGTTTTTGATCCAAATAAACACGTTCTATACAATATCAGCTGTAACAATGTCTTAATAAAATAAGCAAATGGTCTACGGAAAATGGATTCAAACTATCATAGACTAAAATCAAGGTTTAAAATAAATTTGTAAAAATGAAAAAAAATTTTTTTTTTTTTTTTTTTGCTCTTATTTTATTTTTAATTTCAAGCTAATAAATTAAATTTAATATTTCCATTTCCATTTGCTCTATTTCAAAACTAATTTAAATTGACTGGATGGAGGAGGTTTTTTTTGGGGGGGGGGTTCCTGAAATAGCTGATGAGCGCTCTTTTTTTAGTCGTCTTTCATTGCAATGTAATTTTCTTTATTTAAAAATCTTCTAAAAATAAAATATAAATCCTTTTCTGAAACTTTATTTAAGGAATATTAGCTGATTTAAAGCATAATTAATCTGATTTGAAACAAATATTATTTACTTTAAGTTTAAAATATTGCAGAAATGTATTTTTTAACCTGTATTAACAGCCTGATGACAGATCTAATGTTGTTCTATGGAAGACTTTATCTGTAAAACATAATTGAAAACAAATATGAACACCTTTTTTGTATAATTTTTAAGTACTCAGTAATCTTTAAAATTTAGGGAAATATTCTCCTTAATGTTTTATTGAATTTTTAAAATGTTCATTTAAATTTACTATAGTTATTGCTCTTATTATTTGATAATGTGTATGGTCACCCATACTAAAAAAAAAATAGGCACATTTATACACATACAAAAAAAAATTCAAAATTCTTTTAAAAATATTGGCGTTTGATGATTTGTATTTACGATTAGTAAATATAGTTTTCACTTAATAATATGATCTAAAAGGCTGAAATAATTACTGAATTTTAAAAGATTTAAAAATTAATAAATATTTCTAATTAAAATTTAAAAAACATGAAGACAATTTTTGTAAAAATTCATTATTCATGAATTTCCTAAACAATGTATTTTTTACCATAAAAAAGACACTAAATTTCCCATACTAATCTTTGACCCACCCGTTGACACAAAGAAAAACAAAATTTTTAACCAAAACGTCCTAGGAAGGATTAAAAAATTTAATAAAATAATCAAAAAAATATTTTGGTCTTTCTTTTTACTAATAACGTGAACATTTTGACGATAAAACTTTAATTTTGCAGACAAATTTTTGGAGTACCTAACTTTAGACCATTCTCAAATTGAAAATTTGAAAACTTAACAATATTTTTTCTTCACTTTACTTCTATATATAAATAAAAGTTCTGAAATAAAATCTCTGTATTTACCTTGATAAAGTTCTTGAAAGAATGAAACACATTGGTAAAGAAAAGTTTTCCTTTTGTCCTTTTAGATTGTCTTTAAAGTTATATTTTATTTATATCTGAACTTTTTCATAAACGTCTGTGTTGGTTATGATTGACCTTTTTCCCTCCTCAGCCAAGCCATTTTTAAGACTCTGTGTGTGTGCATTTATTTGTGCCTATGGAACATTGAATTGAAAAATATAAAACGTTATCGTCGTTTGCTTAACTCTATGAATTGGGAATAATTTTGGTACTGGACACGGTCGTCATGACTCATTAGTTTCAAGTTAGAGAAAACAAATTCCAACATATAAAAAAAATTCTCATGTTCTTCACACTAACCAACTGAAAGTCATTCTGTTTAAGTGAGAAAATAAATTTCACTTTTAGTTTCCCATCATCATCACTATTACCACCTTTTAAGTATTCACTCTGTTACAAACACACTTGGAGGTTGTGTCGGAGTTAGCTCCTCCTTAGCTCTTTACCCTCCAACAGGGGTCTCTCTCCCCTGGCTATAAATACTCGCTGACCCTTCACCTCTTCCTCTTTTTCCCTCAGGCCTTTGGGCCGCCACCTTGAGGTAAATCCTTTTTCCTCAGGCTTTGGCCTTATACCAACTCACAGATGTGAACTCTCATAGATACAGCGTTTCCCATATGCTGGGAACATGCTAAGAACTATACACGTACTTACGAACACTCACCACAACATACACACATAATATTCACCACACGCACTCTGTCCATGTAACTTGTAACTTTTCTTGTTATTAATACATATATTTGTTTACATATATTTATCGGTCTTGTTTGTTTTTCTTTGCCTTCTTTGGATTTTATTAAAGTCCAACTTTCTCATGTAGTTGGACTGGCTAGCAGGAAATTCTACCCACATGTCTACTTATACTCAACCTCGCCGACACGGTCCCCTACAGTTGTTTCTTGTAAACTGATTTGCAACAGAGAAAAGAAAAAGTCCCTGTTACAATACAACACATTACAAATTACCTGAAATTTTGGGTAGTATGTTGTAGATAAAGTGACTCCAATTAAACATGTTTGACATCTTTAATGTCAAAATTATTTATCTACATTTTTGACTGACTTGTTTGTAAATTTGATTTTAATATCACAAAATGATTTACTCTTAACTTTTATTAAAAGTGGCATTGTTAATATTTGCTAATTTTTAATGTCATCTACAATTTGGTTATTTTGTACCAATTGCATACTTCTTTTCAGTTTCCAAGTTTTTCTTCCTCCTTTTGCAGGAGAGTACCTATAATTTTCATTGTCAAGCTATTAAAAATAGTTTAAAGTTTGTAAGACTGAAAAAAAAATCAAGATTTATTTGAAACATTAATTTATCTTAATTTGAATTTTTTTCAAACAAATATTTAATTTGTTCATCTTAAATATTTTTTTTTGTTGTTGATGTTGAAGTCTTGTCATTTGTGACGTTTTCTTTCCTCATTGCAGACGGTCCAACAGTGCCTGACTATGAAGTCATATATGATGAGCCATCATCTGAAGAGGCTCTCCAGTTAAGCTGCATCAACCCATTGCCTTCCGTCCATTCACGCTCAAACAGACTCATGCCTCGGCCTCATTTCATGTCATGCTAAAATTTCCTCTGCTGCATAACGTTTTAAAACGAACTTGGGATAACTGTCATGGGATTTCTGACTGAAGAGTTCATAATGTGTTTTGTGCTGAGAAAGACAAAAAAGAGAAGCCATGGATGATTTTAAAAAGGAAAGATGAGATCTTTCTCTGTGGACATTTTTTTTTTCCCTGTAAAGTAATGAAAATGCTTTTTTGTTTTTTCTTAAACCATGACAAAATGCTATTTTATTAATTTATCAGTTTTCTATATTTCTACATTTTCTAAGTTACCTCCCTTTATTTTATTTTTATTTATTTTTGCCAACCCCCTCCCCAAATTTCAATTTGGTTATTTTGTCTTTTGTTTAATGATTGCTTGGACGATTCTGATTTCTCTCTCTGTGATGGTGCATGGAATTTGAATGTCTGAGTTTTGGTTAATGTCAACACAAAAAGTGAATGTGTTTGGGCAACTTTTTTGTACACTGAGAAATGCTGTTGATGCATTTGTATTTCTGCATAACAGTGGAAAAATTCTCTGACACATTTCATTTTCTAAAGAGACTTTGTCAGACTGATGAAGTGCTTTCAAAAAACGAAATGCATTACATTTCTATAGAAACAAACCGGTATGCTGTGTATATCTGCCAAGTTTTCTTGGCTTCCAATTAATTTGTGTCTCTGCCTGCCTTCCCTTTTAGACCAACTCTTCCATTTAAGGAAGATGATGTTCCTTATTTGAGACCATTTCAAAGTCTTGGCTTCCTTTGCACACCCACAATTTTTTTAATTTTTTTTTTTTTTTTTTTTAACGTTGTCAAGATTTTTCTTTTTCTTCTGAAAAGTGTGAATCATTTTTCTCTTGGTTGGTTATTCCCGAGAGCAAAATACTTGGATTTAGTTTGAACCAAGAAAGAACTCTCTGGACTTTAGGCAAGTTTTTCATATTCTTTACTCATTGTGATGAATACATTTATTTGCTTTTAAAATCCACATAGCCAAAATTACATCTGTGTTACCTTCTGCCTCCATATATTATGGGGATAAAAGTTAAAAAAAAAAAAAAATTGTATCTTCTATTTTGTTTTTCTGCTGAAAATTTACAAAGAAAGTAAAAAAAAAAAAAAAAATGTAACCAGTGTCTAAAAAGGAAACTTGCATAAAATACTTTTCGATAATTTCACAAGGGAAAATGACGGGACAAAGATGGTGGAGAAATTTGAGTGTCAGTCAATTCGAAAGTTTAAATGCATTTTACAAATTTTCCTTCTTTTAATGTGTGTGTGTGTCACACACACACACACACACACACACACACAGACAAGCTGAAAATATATTTATAAGTGTGGCTTAGTAGTTGATTAACAGATTTAATGTCACCTACTCATACAATTGTAGAAGAGAAAATTTTGAAACTTGGCTTGTCACCTTAGAACTTCAAAGAGTAGAACTTAGAAAGATTATTAAGAGTTGGCCAAAGAAGAAATTTTTAAAAATTGAAGAAAAAAAAAAAAAAAAATAGCACTTATAGATTTGTTGCATGGCTTCTATGCAAATTTTGTGCATTTCTGATCCTGTTATACATTATATGCAAGATGCATTGATAATAAATTTAAATAATAAAAATTGTGGGTATCTTGTATAATGAACACAACCTTTTTTTTTTTTTTTTTTGTCTCTAGGCAACAATTGTGATATCCTCTTGCATCTGTCTGTAGCCATTAAAAAGCTGTACAGTTTATGAAAATAGTTTTTCTTTGTTAGGGAGTCAAGGTGAGAGTAGTGTCTAAGTAAACAAGGGAACACTTTGGTTAGACAGAAGGTTTGATATTTCATCTCTTGATGACTGCTTTAGAGACGTTTTTTTCGATGTTTTGTGAATTTTGGGTCTTTCAGGAACAAACAAAATTCAATAGAATCCCATTTGTAAAAATTCTTTTTAATTTTTTCAGTTATTAAAAAATCTAAAATTTTTTTTTTTTTTTTTACACTTCTACAGTTTTTTATGTTACACCATAGCACATTAGTTATCACATGGGAAAGGGACTGGCTTTCCAATTAAAAACAATGTCTTCATGAAAGTGACTATTAAACTGTTGAAAGTGTGGGGGGGATGGTTGATTTAATTGCAGAATTTTGTCTGTTGTCTGAAAGCATATTCAAATATTTATTCTTAAAGTTCCTCAATTTCTTTTGAGATCAGAACTGCTGCTTCAAAAACTTTATTTATTTTCTCTTGATTTTTAAGGCTGTGAATTTTTTTTCTTAAATTCTAACTCAATGAATTGAGTCAAATCTCAAATTTCAATGCCAACCTTGTTTAGGGACTTTTTTTTTCTATTTAAACAAATAACATGGCAAGAATCAGAAAAAAAGAGTTAAAAAGAAAATCAGAGTTTTTTTATTTTGAATTGAATTCTTTTTCATTCCAGAGAATTGTAGCATTCTTTTTTTTTTTTTTTTTTTTTTTTTTTTTTTGTGTGTGGGACAAGAGATGGAAGGCAAATCAGTGTGAGAGAG